GTAAATTACAGATTTGTAATATTAAAAAAAATTCTAATGAAAGAAATTTGTATAATCATTATAAGTATAGGGTTGTGGAGATTATTAAATTCAGATTGGTATCATGAATGAATCGATGTTAGACCACCATTAAGAACCTGGAGACATTGTATGACCATTTCGTTCTAGTATGAGACTCCTCAACAGTTTATTTATTTATTTAAACACATAAATATTGTTACAAATGGGCACCAGATACGTATGCGCCGCACAAATCTTGTTTGATTTTTGTCAGGGCTGTAATACTGCCCGGATGCCCAGACCGAAAGAGGTGATTTTCTTAGGAGGCCACACCCCGAGCCTTTGACCTAGAGATCTGATACACAAGACAATAGAGCATCGTGAGGTGATTTAGTCTCATGGTGGCCGATGACCAACGATTGATTCATACGCCGTTTGTTCCCTTAGTGTACTGGAACCCATGTGCACCATTGGTTTAGAATCAGGGTATTCCAACTCGCCAAGGTAGACTCACAATGTCCATCAACTCGGTTAAAGCGCCGGACATTCGCTTTCGTCCTCTCAATTTTGTAAACAACAGTAATGCCACCAGAAGGCAGTGAATAGGACTTCCCTGACAGAAACTATATACGCGTGGCCATATGAGAGCAGTGCGCATTTATGACCCCTCACCAAAAGGGACTCAAACACAGGACTTTCGCTCCCACACTCTAACACTTAATCTCCAGACCACTGAGCCGTCTGGCACTTGGTAATGTTAATGTTTAACTTCTACCAATTCAAGATATAGGACGACCGTCCACCACTGTCTTCAGTGAGCGACTGTCTTACAACAGACCTGGTTGAACTCCACTAGTCACCGCTTCTCACTAGGACTTCAGGAAATCTATCTTGAAGTTAGTCACTAGCGAGCACATGATTATCATGATCTATCAAGTATAAACTTTTGTATGCATGGAATAGATGAGATATTTTTATTAGTATGAAATTGACTTGATTTATAAATGAATGATTGATAAACTATATAAACAATATAATAAAGTAATAATATTAACTATTAATAATAATAATATTGAATTGGATGAATATCTTGATGGTAAAACAAAACAATAATGAACTTCATTCATTGATATTGCTTATTGTATTCAAGTTATAAGAATAAATATCAATACTAGATAGAATATTAGATCTACTCAATGAATGTTTATCATCAATATCTATCCATGATATATCTATTATTAGTTAATATTGAAAAGATAATTAATTATAAAAATATATATAAATAATACAGATTAGAAATATATTATCATAGTTGAAATCATGAGTTAATTGAAGCTAGACCACCATAGAAAACGTGGAAGCACTGAAAAGCCGTTTCGTCCTATTGTGAGACTCCTCAGCAGTGAACATTCAAGATCCCGCCTCGCAAGATTCGAACCCAGGATCTACCAGTCCATATTAAAGGAAAGAATAATTCATATTTTGTAGTATCAGAAGGGGTTTTAGTGGATATTATAGTCATTTTAATAGTTGAGATCATGAATCAATTGACACTAGACCACTATGAAAAACCTGGGAGCGTTGGACGGTGGTGGATGCGTACTGCTGAGAAGTCCCGCAATATGACGAAATGGCCGTCCAGTGCTTCTAAGTTTTCCATGGTGGTCTAGCTTCAATTGATTCATCATCTCATATTTCTAAGTTTTTAGATAATCTTAGATGTTTTATTATTATTATTATTATTATTATTATTATTAATTGTTATAGAGAATATCTGTTTGATTTCAAATATTGTTACTGCGAGACTATAATTTATGGATGACCTTTGAACGAATCTTAAGTGACCATGAGAACTATTAGCCAATCAGAAAACAATTAGTATAGAGTAAAAATATATTATACAAAACTAAAGGATTAAAGCGGATGCACTTCTTTTACATGGTTCAAAAACTTGTCAAGGTTAGGAGGTTCTAAAATCGTAATACATACAATGGAGGAAATCATCCATATGGTTCCATAAAAGTCAGCATCTAAAGCCATGATAAGGTCTCAGAAACTATTTCAGCCTCGACCACATGGCTTCAATATTGTTAGTGTGCACTTCGGTTGTTGGGTCCACAAAATGTTGTTTGTGGATAAAGACATGATGCACATAACCAAGTCTATGTAGGTATCTGTACGCTCTCTGATAATCTGTATTTGTTGTAGTCCCCGGCTGCACATATTCCCATATGATTGGTATTATCGTTGTTGCCTATCGACGTCTAGCTCGTTGGAAGTATCCTTTATGAGGTAACCTGTCGTATATTTCAAGGACCTGTGAGCTATATTTATAGATGTGCTGCTTACTTAGTCTTCTTTAACAATACGTCTTCTGTTGAATTTTTGTTTTCTGATTACTGTCTCGTCTATTTCAATGATTCTCCCGACTCCCCGAAACGACTAGTGTAAGCTTGTCATTTTTATTGCTCATATACCTCTACAATACTCATACCACCGGACAGCTGAAGCTTCAGTAACATCTGCAGATGTTGCAGCCAATGTTATTGGTGCTTTTATTATCCGATTCGCAACAGTTATCATAATTTGCCTTAGTTTTAATCTGGATCTAGCGAAAAAAGTTCATGCTCTAGCAGACTTCTTCCTCCAACATAAATTACATCGGAAGACAACATCATTACGGTAGTTTGCATAAGGTCCAGCAGTCATTTGATTACTGAAATCAAAAATAAAAGAACTCCCTAGTAATCCTACTTCTTGTAGCCGCTCAGTTATCACGTCTTCTCTAAAATCCGCTGTGAACCAATTGTAGATGGGCATTAGGTCCTGAAATTGGCGCTACGACCTTGAAATCCCCCAAACTCTTCTGATTGGCTCGTTCATAAATTATAGTCTCCCTCAGTCTCTTATTGAAATATGTACATCCTGCGCGGATTGCCTCAAATCACAAACATTATAAACAAAAATGAATGGTGGCTGTCAGTGGAATCCAGTGTGCGTGTTTCGTCTTATTTGGGACTTATCAACTTTGGGATGCAGGTACATTCAGCTGCCAAGTCATAAATGGAATAAAATACACATCCTGGGTTCTACTGCTAGCCAACATCCATCTTTGCAAGTTTTCTGAACAACTTTTATATTCATAAGTTTGATAGGAAACAATTAGTCGATAGCATCTACTCTATACCTAATATACGGAGATTTTTCACCAATAGAGTTCCATTATAACTATTAGTTAAGTGTTTTACCGAAAGACTTGAATTTACTAATTTAAACTTAAATAAAGTAAAAATTCCCATTCAGATATTCAACAAAGATGTTAGCCGGTATCAGAACAGGTTATAAGTGAGTTAGTATACTGTGATTCTCTTGCCGATGCCTTTTTACAAAGATTTTAAATTACGAACTGATTTTACACAAAATGCTGTTGAAAACATGGAAAAGCCAAAGAGTAGTCTTAACCTAGAATGACACATCGATAATGTGAATTCACAATCACTGATCGAACCGAAGATTCTTAAGTCTCATGATGGTTTCTTAACTTTTGAACCACTGAGTCAATATCCAGGAAATAAGATTTTGAAATTCAATTAATTTGTTATATTTTGCAATCATCTTCAAATATCATTAAAGGGTTATTGCCTCATGCCTAACATGGTTTAATTTTATTGATCATAGCTTCTCAATAAAACTCCTGAAATTGGTCATTAATGAGTACCTATTTATCATGAATGGGTGACGTCTGACTATACTGTGAAGCTTCATAGTTTACATCAAAAACTAACTTAAGGCGTTGAGTACACAATGCTGATAATTCTCACACTAGGACAATACAACTGTCTAATGTTTTCTGGTTCTTAGTACTTATAAAACTACGATCACTTAGTGAAATAAGCTATGATACTTAATAATGTTCATGTATCCCATGCATTACCTTTTTGGTCATTCTTCTCAATTTTATTATTATTTAACATGCTATCAATTAACTGATATCAATGTCATTATCATTATGATTATGTTTGGAGTTAAGCCACAATGGAAAGTTAACTGAAAACAATATTTATTTTACTCATTTCATCTTTCCCTATTAAATAATTAACAAAATCAATCTGAATTCACTTAGTATTGTTTGTTTGAATCTTCCCATCGATGTTTTTGGACTGCAACTGGTCAGTCTCTAATTGGCATATGTGCATACTGTGCGTATTGTCTCGATATAGCCTTAATTCACAAGCATGGTAAGCAGAGATGGATAGTGACTAGCAGTGGAATCTAGAACGCGCATTTCGTCCTATTTCGGACTCGTCGGCTGGATGTACCTGTATCACAAAGTTGATGTTTACTCTGGGACTCGAACCCAGTACCCTCGCTTCAAACGCCATCGCGTTATCCACTCGTCCACTGAGTCCTGATAGCCACTGGCTTGTGCGATGGGGTGAAGTTTGAATTCACTTAGTATTGTTTGTTTGAATCTTCTCATCGATGTTTTTGGACTGCAACTGGTCAGTCTCTAATTGGACGAAACTCGCGTCCTGGATTCCACTGCTAGCCACTATCCTGCTTATAATCAATCTGAGTTTATAAAATATATTATCACATTTATTTAATTTCATATAAAATAAATAGTTGATAAATATGGATTAGTCATTTTGTGGTGTGTGCTACTGATGTCAACAGATATAAGTAGTATATATCGTCAATCAAACATGAAATGTCTGGTGGCAAATGGTTGAAAAGATCGAAGAAAAGAGAATGAGAACAAAGAGTGATTGGCGTGGAAACAAAAAAACAATGAAGTCTAAGACGATTGATTGATATCTGAAAAAGGAACAGTCAAGTTTTTTGAGAAAATTGATTGACATTTTGCAAATGAAATATTCACTGTATGATTTTAACTAAGATGTTCTGTAATTTTGTGTTCAAACACATTCAATTATCCCCATTTGTGTTCTTGTTCACTATAATTTCCTTGTTTTTATATTGTTTTTTTCTAAAACCAGATTTCAAACAGTTCAAATGGGAACAAGCAATCTAAATCACAAATATCAAATGATGGATTAATAGAAAATTCCAACAGTAAGTAAGAATAATCTTTTCATTCAATGTACATCTATATTTTCATAGTTGAGATCATGAGTCGATTGAAGCTCGACCACCATGGAAAACCTGGAAGCATTGGACGGCCGTTTCGTTTTATCATGGCACTCCTCAGCAGTGCTCATCCACGATCTCGCACTTGCAAAATTCGAACCTAGGACCTATCAGTCTCGAGTCAGAGCACTTAACCAATCGTGGATGCACACTGCTGAGGAGTCCCACAAATAGGACGAAACGGTCGTCCAGTGCTTCCAGGTTTTCCATGGTGGTCTAGCTTCAATTGACTCGTGATTTCAACTATGAAAATAGTAAAATCTCCACAAAACCCCTTCTGATCTGTACATCTATATATAATCTTCATTAAAACTTAATACATTGTTTTTGTTTTAATATTCTGATGTAAAAGTTTATAATAAAATCTATTCACGTTAGAGATCTGAATGTCTGATATATACACCATCAGCTAGTGATTATAAAAGTTTATTTCTAACATGTCTCGTAATAAAATGAAACGACTATCTATTACTTTTAATTTGTAATACTTTTTCTTACTTTACTTACTTACTTACGCTTGTTACTCCCAATGGAGCATAGGCCGCCGACCAGCATTCTCCAACCCATTCTGTCCTGTGCTTTCCTTTCTAGTTCTGTCCAGTTCTTGTTCATTCTTCTCATGTCTGTCTCTATTTCTCGGCGTAATGTGTTCTTTGGTCTTCCTCTCCTTCTTTGGCCTTCAGGACTCAATGTGTGAGCTATCCACTTCCAGCGCTTCTTCCTGATTTCTTCCTCCGCTGGAATCTGGTTTGTAATACTTTTGTAATACTTTTGCAGATAATGTTAATTCATGACATAACTTAATCTAATTATATTTGAAAATAGGTATCATTGCCAAGGTTGAACTTTATAGTTTTTCAAAGAAATCGAGTATTAGGTAGAAAGTTAATCATAAACATATTTTTGGTTGGGTTCTAATGAGTAGATAAGTTGTAATTCTGATGTTTCGTAACTTAATGTAAACCGCTTCTTCAGAATAAATATATAACCAAATTTATCCTGAAGAAGTGGTATACATTAAGTTACAAAACATCAGAAATACAACTTTTCTACTTATTAGTATATAACGAAATATATATTTATTATCATATTTGAAAATGTTTACAAGCGTTTTAATTGATAGATATAAAGGAAATTATTATTTATTATTTATTTATTTGAACATATAAACATTGGTACAAAGTGGCACCAGATATATATGCGCCACAGAAATCTCATCTGATTTGTGTGTGGGATGTGATAATTCCCGGGTGCCCTGACCGAAGCAGATAGTTTCTGTAGAGGGCCACACTCGGAGCTTTCGACCTAAAGATCTCATCCGCAAGATGGTGGAGCGACGCTAGGAGATGTAGTCCCATGGTAGCCGGTGATCAATGATTGCTTGATATACCATTTGTTCTTTCAGGATACTGGAGCCCATATGCACCAATGGTTTGAAATCAGGATATTCCAACTCCCCTAGGTGGACTCTTCGCGTCCACCAACCCGGTTACAGCACCAGACATTCACTTTTCTTCCTCTCAATTTGGTAAACAATACCCCTGCCAATAGAAGGCAGTGAATAGGACTTCTCTGACATTAATTGTATGCACATGACCATGTGAGGACATTTAGAGTGAGAGAACTAACTCTTCCCACTCTCGGCCATACCAGAGCATCTGGAAGTTCTAAAACGAATTCAAATTTACACCATTATATAATGTACATTAATTCTTTATTATTTTATTAACGAATAAGTAAGTAATATATGATATGATATTCATCAAAAATGTTGAATAGATTAGTTTATCTTCAAATTAACAAAGAATTTGGCATTCAATATTCAGTGTTTATCATCATATGACTTCATAATATAATATTATATATATATATATATATTTGTATTATTATTATTGAAGAACATGTATATACATGATAGTAACTTTTTATTTTTTTATTTTTTACATAGAAACAAAAAAAATCAATAATGTAAAATTATTTTGTCGTTGACAGTATAATTTCGATTAGTATTTAAGAATATTTTATAGTAAAAGGTTCTTTTATTAAAAAACAAACAAAAACAAACGTGGTTATTCTTTTAATGTTGACGTCACTCCTATGTCAATCCTATGATGATCATGAAATGTTTTACATTAAGATCATATGTTATCAGTCATAATTCTCATACACTTAAGATCTTATGTAAAAGTAGTAGTATATTGTTACATGTACGATTAGATTTAAAGCCATTATAATTTGATGAAGAGAATTTGAGAAAACATAATATTCATAGTAGAAAGCATGAGTCAATTGAAGCTAGACCACCATGGAAAATCTGGAAACACTGGACGGCTGTTTCGTCCTATTATGGGACTCCTCAGTGGCAGTGCGCATCCACGAACCCGCTCTCGCGAGATTCGAACCCAGGACCTACCAGTCTTGAGCCGAAGCCCTTAACCCATAGACCACTGAGCTGGCATCCAACGGTGTTAATGTCTAACTTCAACTGATCCATGCTTTCTACTATGAAAAATACTAAATCTCTACAACACCCCTTATGATAAATAATATTCATAGTTTACATTAATGATTAATTTTAATTGAATAGCTATTGAGAATCATTAAAAATATTGGAAAGCTATTTGGTTCTACTATAGGACTCTTCAGAAGTGCACTCTGATATCCTTCGTTCTCTTGGAGAGGATTTAATCATTAGGCTACTAAGACGCTATCTTATGTGTATATATCTGTTAAGTAAATTATGAAAATTCAATAGTCTATAGATGTGAAATTCATACTAAAAATGGATTCGTACAATAAACTACTAATTTTTTTTAAGATGAGTTGATCACCAAAGTAAGTTCAGAGGGAAAAGAGATTCTGATATATTGAAAGACAACGAGGTGCAGATCAAATTCCCAGCTATAACAGAAATAATTCCAAGATTTGTAAAATCATTTGGTTTCAAATATAATAAAAACAAGTGAGAACATACTGTAGCATACCTTCCATCTGTTATATCTTGACGAAGACATAAGTACGGGTAACTCCCAGGACCTATTATTGGACGATTATTCTATATATATTCCTATTGTATAACTATTCAGTAACTAGATTATCTATGTCTATATTCATCTTATTATAAGCTTCATTTTGACCTATGAATTATTATTATATGAATTAATATTCCTAAATTATACTCAGTTTATTGACTACTGTCTCCCACGCTCACAGCCACATTTGGCTTGATTTTGTACAAATATTATTTTCTATTTTATGGTGTGGTGCCAATCTGTTTGTCTGGTATATAAACCGAGTATGCTTGAAATAAATGATTCACATAGATTCACATAGCAGAAGCTGTAATTGGTGTTCTGGACTCAACTGAAAGGGCTAGGCGGACAAAAGACCAATAAGGACGTTAGACTACTCATACTGGTCGAACGTCATTGATTTGTCACAGTGTTAAGATCGGAAAAGTCGTATTTCCATTGGTGGATAATTCACGTGATAAAAGCCGGACATAAAACCAATAACGAATTATGATACATCCTTGGTTTATCTTGTAAAGTCATAACAAATCGGCGACGACCTTGATCACGTTATAACACCATCAAAAGTATTCTGATAGACTTTATTCAAGCTGAAAGATGAAACAACAAAATGAGATAGATTAAATAAGTCAAGGGTTGAAGAAAATTAAAATCAACATTCACACAATGATAGAACAATTATTACTAACAACTAATGAAATTTTTCATCTTAACAAAACAATTTGTTTGTCTTCTTTTAAGAGATTTAAAGCAATTAGTCTCTTCGATAAATTTCGATAGTGTAATAAGAAGACGAAGATTATCAGAACTATAGTTATGGCTTGTATAATTCTTATTTTCTATTTTATGTTATGATGTAGTCTGGTTTGCTTAAATATAAACCAAATATGTCTCAAATATATAATTCATACAGTGAAGGCTGGGATTGTGTTCTGAACTAAACGGGCAAGGCTAGGCGAGTAGTTAATGTTTTGAGGATAAATAAAGATCCAAAGTTGACGCAAGGCTGATATATGTCATTAGTTTAGCACAGGAACAAAGTCATATAATTTTAATAGTTGAGATCATGAATCAATTAAATCTAGACCACCATGGAAAACCTGGAAGCACTGCTTGACAGCTGTTCCGTCCTATTATGAATCTCCTCAGCAGTGCGCATCCACGATCCCGCCTCGCGAGATTCGAACCCACGACTTATCAGTTTCGCGCACTCGTTTCAATCGATTCATGATCTCAACTATTAAAATTACTATAATACCCACAAAACACCTTCTGATAAAAGTCATATAAGTCACATGATAATTGACAGGAGCAAAAGACAATACAAATCATTAAATTTATATTCTACTATCTGGTGTTAATCGTATATAGAAACTATTAGAAATATTACTATTAAAAATACATATTGCTGAGGGAGTAATGATACGATTTAACTATATTATAGTGTATTCAAGTAAGTTATATTCACTCTTACCTGGAATGATTCCCACTTCGGTGATTTAAGTTTGAACTTATTACCACTCTTTGATAGAGTGGTACTCCATAGATCCTATGGCTGTTCTCATCTTTGAATTTTTTCACTTTATAGGTTAAGGTATTACATTAAATCTCGGAGAAACTGATTCCAATGAAAGTTATTGAGAACGATGGTCAGTTCGAAAAACGTTTCACTTTAATTTCGAATGAAAATTTGATTAATTTTAAAAAGTTTTGATCTAAGATTTACTAATAATAGTTGAAGAGTATCGGAAATAATAAGAAACTGTTTTGTGGTTTTATTCTGGTTTCGAACTTTGAGGAAATGTATACGATTAAAATGAAATGGATATTCAACTGAATCTTTACAACTTATTAACACTCCTCCCGATTCTAGTACTGCTAATACTAACACTACTACTATTACGACTAGTAGTTTTTACTCACTTTTACGTACGCCCATTATCACTCATATGGCATAGGCTGCCAACCATGAATTTCAAACGATATCTCTCCTGGGTTCTTCTTTCCAGTTGTTGTCAAACGATATTCATGCTTTTGGTGTCTGTTTTAAATTCCCAGCATATGTTCTTTGGTTTTTTCTCTTTTCCTTTTACTTGAAAATTTTAAGTTAGGGTTTATTTTGCGATACAGTTTGCTGTTTTCTATGAAGTTATTCTTTTTCACGGTGAGTTTGTACTATCAGTTTATATATCAAGCCCATATACTTTATCCTAGCTACTGGCCAAGCCAATTCGCCTATCCATTATGAGTCATATTTTGATCTTGTTAATTATTCGCTTATTAACCTTGACTATACTTTTATATGATCATATATGTGTACACTTCGTATCTTATTCATCGTATGTCTGTCACTCGTTTTTGTCCGACTATAAATGCTGATTAACGCTTGCTTAAATCGAGTTGGCTTCCCAGCCATCTCCACTGCATGTCATTTCCGCCTCGTTCGCTTCCTTCGCTTATTCGCCTGTTCAATAGCTCGTAATTATTCGCTCAGGTGTTGCTAACTTTTTGACTTGAGTTATTCGACAATAAACTGTAGTTGCTGCTGTTCTTTGTCTTCTGATTTTACGCACCGTTGAGATTAGAATTATAACGGTTATCGAAGTAAACGATTAACGAATCACGGCACTAAAAGTTATTTCTCATTGTATCTGGCGAACGGATCTAGAGTATCTCTTATAGACAATCGTTCATAAATACCCGTCTTTTTTGATAATAGTTATGGTAGTTTTCCAAATTTTAATTCTGTAAAATATGTCTGTCTTAATGTTGCTGTTAAATATTCTGACTTTGATGTTAGCTGACAGTTGTTTTGAGTTCCAGATGTTTTTCAGTTGCATGAATGATGCGCTTTCTTTGCTAATCTATTCCTACTTATCTGCATTAGATCCTCCTTGTTTATTAATGATACTGGTCAGGTTTGCAAGCGTTTCCATCTCTTCCAAAGCTTTTCCATCAAGTTTCTTTTGGTTGAAACTCGTTGTGTTGTATTTTGTGATTTCTCTTTTTCCTTTATGAATGTTAAAACTTACTACCAAAGAAGCTATTACTAAACTGGCTGTCTTCATCTTCACTGATTGCTCTATACAGGAAAAGAAAATAATGGCTAGGTCATCTGAAAAGTCAAAATAGTCTAGCTGGATCCAAGATGCTCACCGTATTCTGTGCTTCCTCCTAAGCCAAGGAGGTTTCCATAATACAGTGAACAATCAGAAAGAAGATGAAAGGCGAGAGTAATCAGTCTTGTCACTGACACCAGGCCTCACTTGAAAAGGTTTTGCTAGTTAATCACCATTAATAAATCAATCCCTTATAAGTGTTCTATATAATGCTGAAAATCTCAAATACTCCATAATGAAGAAGAAGATACAACAAAGTCGTTCTTTGCACACTTTTGAATTCTTTCTCATAAGCAAGGATGTTGATGTATAGTGATGCGTTCTATTCAAATGATGACTTAACAGTGATCTGTGGTATCATAGCTTCGTCAGTACCTGGTCAGTTCTCACGAAATATAGCTTTATGGCCTAAAAATTAGGCGTCTACAGATTCCTTCATTCAGTTTAGTAACACTCTGTTGGAAACTTTTCACGTTACTGATATTACTGCAATGATTACTATTAATATTACTACTGATATTCACACTATTATTATTTGTGTTGTTTTAAACCATTCATGAATTGTGAATAAGTATATATATTCACATGATATTATCAACACTATTTTGATTAAATTTCTTAATTACATCACTTAACTATCTGCTGACTTTAAATATATATATAAGTAACATACATGACAACGGATTCCATTATGAATCCATGTATGAAAATGAAATGGATAAAAGTGATAATAAACATTTCAAAGAATTTTTTATGATCTATTGTATACAAAAGATGAATTATATTTGTTTCTCTAAAAGTCCCAAAATGCCCTGGTACGGTCGAGAGCGAGAAGAGTCCACTCTCTCTCGAAATGCTCTCACAAGGCCACGTGTATAAGTCCTACTCACTGCCTTCTCGTGGCAGGAGTGTCGTTTACGAAGTTGAGAGGACGAAAAGCGAATGTTCAGAGCTTTAACCAGGTTGGTGGACACGAAAAGTCTACCTAGGAGAGTTGGGAAACCCTGATTCCAAACCAATGGTGCACATGGGCTGGCTCCAGTATCCTGTAAGAACAAATGGCGTATGAATCAATCGTTGGTCACCGGCTACCATGGGACTGCATGTCCTTACGATGCTCCACTGCTTTTTTGTGGATCAGATCTTCAAGTCAAAGGCTTCGGGTGTGGTCCCCTAAGAAAACCACCTGCTTCAGTTTGAGCACCTGGTCAGCATCACAGCCCTCACACAAATCAAATGAGATTTGCGTAGCGCATAAGTATTTGATGCCCCTTTGTACCAATATTTATGTGTTTAAATAAATAAATAAAATTTTGTTTAAAAGAAAAGAAAAATTCTTTGTTCAATAACTTTTTTAAATCAAATTTGTAGGTAATAAACAATTAGAAGAAGATGATATGGAAACACTTATTGAGTGGGCCAATTGAAATTCAATTCTTTTTTTTTAATTACCATTATTATTTCAATCTCTTATGTAATCAAATGGATTATTCATATACATTTTATGAAATCTACACACTACTTAAATAATTTAAGTAGGTAAAAATATTTATCAGAAACTTTGCAAATATCACTTTTAAAAAAATATTTTAACTATTTGTAAAGAAGCAAATAGATAAATATAAAACAATACAAAAGACTTGATATATTCAATATGTATTCGTTCAACTTTGAATTTAATAATACAGGAAATCGTTGTTTATTACTTTAAACTATTGAATTTTTACAATGTTAACAACTAGATTCATTGTTAAATGTCACTTTGATATGTTTACAAAGAGATTTGTTTTTATATTAAAATTTATTATTTATTATTTGATTGATTTTTAATCTTTTTCATTGTCTTAAAGAAGATCATTTTGTAATGCTTTTTTTTGATTGAATCTTTTTGACATCTTTATTGTTGATTTAGAATTCAGTTATTTTTTGCAAAGTTCTTTTTCATGTTCATGTTTTCATAAAATGATTTAATTTTGGACTCAAAAAGTTTGATTTTCGATTGTTATATATATATATATATTTATAGTTTTTGCTTTGTTATATTATTTACTACTTTTAAGTAGTATTTCTCATGTAGTTGTACTTATTTTTATAAAACAGAATGTATCTTTCTTTTTAATAGACATGGGAAAAAGCTATTTGGTAAACGTTTGTTCTCATTTCTATTTTTTGTGTGTACAAAACATGATTTCACATTCCACATTTATGCATCTATGTACTATCTCAAGGTTAAAAAGATAGATAAGTTAACAGAGAAGCTGATTATGTATCTCATCAATGTCCCAGCTGATATTGTAGTGGCTTTGCTTCGCTAATCGTTCATCTCGATAAACCATTATAATATAAATCGCAACGGTGTTTGAAATTAGAAGGAAAAAAGAGGCGGTAAATACAGTTTATAAGAGGATAGCGCACACCACAAAGTCATAAACATATCAAACTAATTTGGCTTAGAGAGGCAAATAAGTACATGTGATCAATTACATAGGCGAATTTATAGTCAAATTGTATAAGGTTGCAATAAGGCAAAGCAAAAGCTAACAATAGGATTTGAGCACATATATACACATGGGGAGGAGGATGAATCACCGAGTGAGATTTCAACAAACAACATTTTAGCAAAAGTCTGTCATGACTTTAATGATCATAACAGTACAAAGAATTATGCGAATTGTTACTTTTCGAATAACATTGTCTATTAAGCAGGGCTTAACCAAAATTAACCATAATCGAAAGTAATTGTAGTCTATTTGCTATATAATGTCTTTGACCGATTTTAGGTGTATAGGCGAGTCTATGATTTATGAACAACCTTTGGACGAATCTTAAGTGAGGTTGTGAAATGTTAGTCGATCAGTTAGCAGTCAGCAAAGAGTAAAAATACATTATACAAAACCAAATAATTAAAGTGGATACACTTCCTTTATATGGTTCAAAAACTTGTCAATGTTAGAAAAGGGTTAAAAGGTTCCAAAATCGTAATGCATAAGGTAGAGGAACTCATCCATATGGCTCCATAATACACGGTCTCTGGAGCCATGATAAGGTCATGAAAATCCTCTCAGCCTTCACCACATAGATTCATTATTGTTTGTGTGTAATCCGGTTGTGTAAGTTTATCATTTTTATTATGGATATGTCCCTACAATACTCATACCACTGAACAGCCGAAACTTTAGTAACATCTGCGATTATTGCAGTCAATGTTACTGGTGCTTTTATTGTACAGTTGGCGGCAATTATTATAATATACCTTAGTCTCAATCTGGATCGAGTAATAAATGCTCCTGTTCTAGCAAACGTATTCCTTCAACATATATTACATCGAAAGACAACATCACGGTAGTCTGCACATGGCCTACAGGTCATCTAATACTCGTAATTACAAATACAGCAACTTCTTGGTAGTTCCATTTTTTGTAGCCGCTTAATTGTCAAGTCTTCTCTAAAATCCTCTGTGAACCGATCGTACATGAGCAATAGGTACTAAAATAGGCGCCGTGACCTTAAAAGCCGCCAAACGCTTCTGATTGGCTAGCCCATAAATTATAGACTCACCGATGTATATACTTATATCGTTTGTGAACACTTTATGTAATTTGTAATTTAAGGCTTCCTAGTCATTTCTCTACTATCTTACTGATACTTTAGGTGAGATAAACTTACAAGCATGTAAATCCATATGAGAATCGAATGATTATGAAAAGAAACACGAATCACTTCAGAGATATGACTGTCTTTCCCATCAAAAGTACCTACATAATATTCAGTAGTTTATAAAAAATAACTGAATATAGTAAATTCATACACAATGAAAGTAATGATAATATAAACAATCAATAGGCTTAATGATAATAGTATGTATACATGATGAATAAATGAGTAGATTGCATCCATCATTTTACACACTTTATTAATGTAAATAGTTAACTGATCATACTTATTTACTTACTTACGCCCGTTACCCCTCGTGGAGGAGCATAGGCCGCATACCAGTTGTAGTGCCGTGCTTCGTTAATAGTTCACCCTGATAACCATTATGGTACAAGTCTCAACAGTGCATAATATCAGAAGGCAAAGGGAAGCGGCAACTACATTTTTATTGATAAATGATGCAGACCAGAAGGTTATAAGCACATGATCAAATGTTAGCGAGCAAAGCATACATGACACGTATTGGAGATGGCTGGGAAGCCAACTCATTCTAAGCAAGAGTTAATTAATATTTATAGCCAGACAAAAATGAATGACAGACATATGATGAATGGGATACGAAGTGTGCACACATATACGCTCATATAAAAATTAGTCAAGGTTAATAAGCGAATAATTAACAAGATCAAAACATGGCTCATAATGTATAGGTGAATTAGCTTGGCCGGTAGCTAGAATAAAGTATATGGGCTTAACATGCCAAACGATACAACACAGTTACTGATCATAAGTATATGTAAAATTAAGTCAACATTGAGGATCAACCTTTTATCAGGCATTGAGTAACTAATATAGACTAAAAAGTACTTTAGAAATGATAGAACATGGGTTCTAAATTTAATAAAAGTCAATCATTGAGGTAAGCTACCTTTAACTTATATAAACCTCTATAGACATTAAATTGTTATTCAATCAGATATTCGTTATTGATAAGTTGTTTCAAAACAGATTTAGTTGTAAGTGATTAAGTCTTCTTCCCCCCCCTACTTGTACTAAAATTGATCGGTCTCTTTTAAGGTATCGTGTGCATCTCTAAAGAAGTGCCTTGATGTTGTTACCAATCATAATAATCTCTAAGTATAATTAAATAGTGAACAAAACATGAATCCTAGCTTTCACCACTATTGACTAATCAGTTCTACTTAATGATGAACGATGGTCTTGTTATAATATTATACATTCTCTAAATTTCAAGATCTATAAACCTATATGATAGCATTAACTCAATGATTGGAATATCAAGAAAAATGATGATGGCATTACATTCAATTTCATACTGGATTTAGAGTAAGACACGTATCAGTTAGTGTCATTTCATAATGAATAATATGTTCCTGGGATATAATTTATCATGTTTCTTATTATTTCTTGTTCAACTGATCAATCCGAATCTTTTCAAAGTTATCTCAACAACATACCTTATAGATAACTGTTATAGCTGAAGCGTTTCGAATTCACTTAGTCATCGAACGAAACAAAGACTTATGACCAGAGACCGATAAGTTAGCTATTCTGACGAGTCCCAGACCCAGCTAACTAGAGTAAGAAGTTCAAGTTGGAAACGAGAAAAATATATTCCGTAAGCAGCCAGAATCACAGCAATCGTATGGGGAAAAAATCAAACGTATATATACAGCATAAAATTGTCCTTAGGCAGTATTACAATATAGCATACTTAAAGATACAACGGACCAATAGCGTTTTATATATTTTATAAGTGGGAAATACGACTCAAAGATGAAAAGAACGCTTTTGGCGCGTAAAGAAAGAAATTCAAATTTTCAAAATAAAAGTACAAAAATAGGCCATTTACCAAGTGATTTCTGGGGATTTAACATCCCCATCAATAACTTTGATGACAGAGAACACCGAAGATAAGTACATATCAGGTGTCTAAATGCTAAACACACAACACTAAGTTACCTATGAATCGGTCAATGTTCAATGATAAATAATGGAATCGTGTATATCTAATAAACTAACGTATAGAAGAAATTAATGTTTAATATCTATAAAATTACTTCAATACAAGCATAATACCTTTGATAATCATACCTAAATAAGTGTAATGCTAAAGTAAATATGTCAATGCACTTTTACAAAACCATTATTTAAACGATATAGTTATAAGGTTACATTGAATAAAGGTTTCATCAGATGAAGTAAGGCTAAAATAATTGGTATCAAGTTCATTTTATTAATACTAAATAGTTGATTGTCAAAAACAATGGTCATTAGGTCTTGATTAAGTATTGGTATTTCTATGATTGAAGGTAATTAATCAAAAAGTGTTTCTTTCCTAGTGTAGAATCAGGTTATTGTGAAATGATTAATTTCTTCAGTGATAGAAAAATATACCTTTCTGGGGAGAAATAAAAAAAATGGATGGAATTTCTGTTTATTCACATAGACGAAAAAATTTCTTTAACCACCTGTTGTGATTTGACCTAGGCTATAGCCAATTGTTATGACTTGATCAAGGTCGTCGCTGATTCGTTATGACCTTACGAATCTAACAAGGACGTAATTCTCGTAAATGATCCACCAATAGAATACGCCTTCTACGACCTTCACACTGCGACAATGACGTTCGATTAATATGAGTAATCTAGCGTCCTTATTGGTCCTTATCCGCCTAACCCGTCCACTTGAGTCCAAAAACACCAATAGCCGCTGCTGTAATGCTAATCGTTTATTTCAAGCATACTTTATCTATATACCAGACAGGCAGACCACACCACACCATAAAATAGAAAATAATATTTGTACAAAACCAGGCCAAATGAAGCTGTAAGCGTGGGAGACAATAATCAATAAAACTGAGCATAACGTAGGGACAGTAAATCATATAGTAATAATCAATAGGTCAAAATGAAGCTAGTAATAAGATGAATATAGATATAGATAATCCAGTTACTGAATAGTTATACCATAGGAATATAAATAGATTAATAGTCTAATAAGAGGTCCCGTAAGTTATCAGTACTTACTTTTTCCTAGTATATAACACCTCCCCTTTTTTGAAGCATCATGGATAATAGCGATCCTTGGGATTTATTTTTGTACGATTAGGTTTCCGCCTGATGCGCTGCGACCGCCTTGGGAGTGTTGTACACGTCTTCTTTTTATTCGGGTCCTTTTTAATTTCATCATCCGACTCGGTTAATATATTTAATGGTATATCATGCTTTCTATCACTTTCTATCTCCCACTCCTGTCTGGTCGGCTGTATCTGGTTTGCATGTCGTACCCATATCTTTTGTCCAACTTTCACTTCATAAATAACTTTCCCTTTTCTTCGGACTATGATGCCAAATTTCCAGGTTGGCTTTACTCCCTGGAAATCTCTTGCCATTACTGCTTGTCCCACATTAAACCTTCTGGGTAAGGCACCATGCCTTTTGTTAAATTGCAGTTCCATTCGTTTATTCTTGCATTGAATGACTTCAGGTTTTGGCTTCATTTGTTCCATAGGTATTCTAATCTTTCTTCCAAAAATTACTTCTGCCGGGCTTTCCTGATTATTTGTTGCTGGGTTGGG